TAGAGGTGGACGACAAGGTCGGGGACGGGGGCGAGAGATAGGTAGAGGGCGTGCACAACATGCACATCATCATGATGATGTCGGTGTGTCACAGGTGACATAGGATGTATCACAGGATGTTGAGCAGGAGGTTCGCAAACAGCCGAAGCGACGTAGGCGACCACCTGCGTGTGGGACATGATATGATATTCATGTATTTGATGCATTTTTTTTTTGTTGTACTGTGTACTAATATTTTCTTTTGTATATTCATTGTCATTTATACAAAGATGTTTTGTTATAGTATTCTACAATCAAGTTGTCACATATATAACTTCACCATCATAACAAATCTAATTGACTTCAACATTACACGTACATTACATTTCACATGTAAAAATTAACATTAAAATAACATGATCTACACAAAACAACACTAACATACAACTTCTTCACACAACAGTAATATAATAATTATACTTAGAAACACTAACATAACACTTGTTCCCACATCATTATTATAACACTGGTCCACACAACACAACACTAATTTAACACTTGTCCAAACAATACTGACTAGATAATTTATTACACAATACTAAAATCACAGTTCACCATACAACATTAATAGCACAGTTCTCCACACAACTTATTTTATGGATCAACATCTTCATCAGACATCTCGATATCAGAAATACATCCAACTTCTCCACTTAGAAGGAAATTTATACGTGCTTCTTCCATTAACCCTTCTTCAGCACATTCTCGTGCGATGCGACGAAGGTTGTAATGATTAAGACAGATTGCCATGCGATTGTTCTCAGCTCAAAAATGATACAATGCTTGCTCCAGTTGTTGAGGTGTCTCAACTGGCATATGGATTGCAATTTGTCGAGGCTTTCGTAAATTACAAGTTTGCATATCGCCAATAAAATTTTCTCACTCTGTCAGACGATATTGCAATTCAGCCCTCATGGTTCTTACGACCCTACTAGAATAATGTAAACGAGGATTCATTGAATAGAAGAACTCATCCTCTAAGGCCCAATGATAATTCATATTTTCATATAAAGTTCTAACACTATAATTCATGTTAGAAATCAGATGATGTGCACTTACTTGCGTAAAGACGGTGAATATATAGTGACTACATAAATCTCCCAACAACTGACCATATCAGTACAAATACTATCTTGAAGTGACAATTAACTACTTTATCATAATGCTGAAGAAGAAAAAGTGACTACTCGTGACTACTTAATGTCATGTGTTGAAGTGACAAAAAGTTGAATGAGTTTCAACATAACATGTGCTGAACTAACGTACCCTTGAATGAGTTTCTGCAAACAATGTTTTGAAGTGACAACTAACTGCTCTATCATAATGTTGAAGAAGAAAAAGTGACTACTCGTGACTACTTAATGTTATGTGTTAAAGTGACTACACTCTAAATAGATGTCAGCAAACCATGTGGTGAAGTGACAAAACGTTGAATGGGTTTCGTCAAACCGTGTGCTGAACTAACGTACCACTGAATGAGTTTCTGCAAACACTGTCTTTAAGTGACAACTAACTGCTTTATTATAATGCTGAAGAAGAAAAGTAACTACTCGTGACAACTTAATGTCATGTGTTAAAGTGACTACACCCTGAATGGATGTCAACAGACTATGTGGTGAAATGACAAAACGCTAAATGAGTTTCAATATACCGTGTGCTGAACTAACTTAACCCTGAATGAGTTTTTCCACACACTGTCTTGAAGTGATTACACTCTGAATGGATTTCAGCAGACGTGTGTAACTATACTGTTTCACTTTTGACTAATATGACTTGTCTAACACAGTATTCTTAGGACACTACTATTTAAACATCATTTTCCAGTTGATATGACAAACAAAACATTATGTCTACATCAAATTTCTCTACGAGCTTTAACAATCGTAGACGTGAACGGGTTTGGTTATTACAAGAGTGGAACGATGATTACAAGAATGAGAGATTTTTAGATCCAAAAGAGTATTATCCAAGAGTACGACGAGAGTGGGCTTTTCGTGCTAAAGAATCAGACGAACTATTTACACAACTAAGATAACTTGGCATACTAGTGTCTCGTAGACGATCACTATCAATGCAATGCCGAAATAGAGATGATTACGAATCAGTAGTAAAATAAGTTCAAAAAGAGAATAATAGAATGCTAGTTTGTAGATCTCGCTATTATATGCTCCAACAAGCAAAAGACATGATGGGAACTGCACATGGACGAGAGTTGGCACTAGTTGAACAAAATAATATATTGTTTAATGCACAATACATGTCAGATGATTATATGTCTGATAAACCTTAACAAAGTCTGCATTTGGAGTGTAGTCAGTCTAGTGAACTCATTACATTGCAATGTAATGTCATGTCAGTCCTTTGTATTTGAAGTGTTGTGTATTTACTTTTTCGTTTTGAACTCATTATATTGTTGTGTTAGTTTAGTCAGTCTAGTGACAAGTCATATCAGTGCTATTTTGTCAATGTAGTTAGTCTACTGTCAAATCATGTTAGTCCTTTTATCATTCACGAATTATGTCATTACTTTATCAGTGTAGAGTCATATCATTACTTTACTTATGTCAAGTCATGTTACTCATATCCAGGCCTTGTCTTGTCAAATTTATATATAATTGTATTTTGTGTCTATATAAATCATACTTATTCGTTGTGTACATCATAAACCTAAATATATCTAGACGCACATCTAAAAGACAATCCAGTCAAACCATCCAAGGTTCTTCATCACGCAATGAACAACAAAGTTCATCTGCACCCCACGAACATCAACGCTCGACTAGCTGAGCAGCATGTGGTATAGAAGTAGTTCGTTCAATTGAATCCTACACAGATTCTACCGGTGTAACTTGGTATGGACAAAAGCGTGAGTTTTGTAATGAGCTCATCGACTCTTATCACTCATTCGATCAAGTTGGACACATATTTGTGGGGCCTGCGATCGACTCTTCGCCTTCGAGTGTTCGTGTCGAACCCACGCCAAGATGGCGACAGTTATATGACAAACGTTGTGAACTTGAAGTATATTGTCGTTGACATGGATTAATGGTACCGAAGGCATGTTTGGCTGATATATATGATCCACAAAACTCCACCAATCATAACGAGATCATAGTAAGACTTGAACGTGAAAATGATCAAATGCAGCATAGACTTGATCATTTGCTTGCAATCGACCATGCAAAAATTGAGCATTTTGATCCTGATTATGCTGAGATTAAAATTTTGCAGGATCCGTTACTTGTTTTAGATACAGAATTGTTTGATTATTCCGATTTAAGTGATGATGCGTTTGACACTTTTATTCTATCAAGTTTATTTGTACTGGACAACCCTCTATGTTGTTTTCTACATCAAGCAAAATATTGACAGACTGTATTTCTTACAGTTTGATGTAATAAATTTGTTATGTTGTAAAGTATAAGTAATATTTTTCATATTTTAAAGTTCAACACACTTTTGTAGGTCAACTATAAATGTTCGATGAACTTATAACATATAATTGGAATACATACTATTTTAACATATATAAAAATATTTAAAAAATAAAACGTTTTTCAAAACCATGGTCTTTAAAGTGACATTTTTAAAAAATAAACTTGAGTTTGAGAAATAAAGTTTTAGAGCCGACTAGGTTGGGGAAAAGCTCCTCCATATTAGGATACTTTTATGACGTGAAAAGTGAGATTATAATATTAATATTTTTAACATATACAAAACATACTTTTTGATAGAAGAATTGTGCTTTCAAAACACGATTTTAAGTTTTTTTATTAAATATATAATATGAAATTAAATTATGCTTTTATGAATTTTATTTTCGATTATAAAATTAGTTAAAATTTTTATGAAAAGGAAACTAAATTCTAAAATTTATTTAATTTTTTTTTGGTGAATCATGATGTGAAGAAACATAAGGTGAGATGACGTTATTTAGCTTTTATGACATTTGGGGTAGAAAACATCAATGTAAAAGGCTAAGGGGTAGAAAACATCAATGTACAACGCTAAGGGAATTAAATTCTAAAATTTATTTATTTTTTTATGTTTTGTCTGCTGAATCATGGTGTGAGACATACTAAAGTAGAGTAGAAAATATCAATGTAAAAAGGCTTAAGGGGCAGAACACGTCAATGTAGGCTGCTAAGGGGTAGAAAAACATCATTAGTTTATAAAAGTGAAGAAAATGTCATTTTGAATGACGTGTTTAAGAACTACCAAAATTATTTTTTTGTCCATATTTAAGTATTACGTGACAAGTTTATGATAAAAAATAATTAGCAATTTGGACGTTGTCTGTTTGAAGGACCATATAGAAACATTTAATATTTCAGGGATTAAAATGATATAATTAAAATATTATAAACCAAAATAAGACAAACTCCGTACTTTAGGGATCTTCATCAGAATTAACCTAAAACAAATTACTGGCATGACATTTAAAAGTCATCTAACCTTGAATTTAATTGTTTGATTAGGTTATTTGGATCAAGTTTATTAATAACTTGAGTAATACTATTTGAACTTAAAAGTTTGATCTAATTTACTAATTTAATAGTATGATTTTATCATGTTTAAATGTTTGTTGAGACCTAAGTCAACCCAAATATTATAATAAATTAAATCAATAAATTAGTTCAATAAATTAAGTGTCAATAATATTGTTCCATCATAATATAATTGATTATTGGTCAATGTTCAATACGTGTTAGATACCTCTTCTAGAGCCGTGGAGCATCTTCTTTGAATGGTCTCTATATCTTACTCCTTGGATTTGTCAGTTATGAATGGATCTCTCTCTATCTGTTGGATAAGTATTGGAATTTGGAAGACTAAACACGTATGTTGCGGCATTTTTAGACTTATCAAGTTCAAATTACCCACAATATATAAAGAGTAATGTTATATGGGCTTAAAACTTAAATTTTAAAATTAAACTTGATAATCTCAACTATTGAATAGATAGTGAGTCCCAATAAATACTGGGACCCACAGTGAAGTCAATAGTTTTAATTATCAAATCTAACTTTTAAATTTATTTTTTAAATTTATATAAAATTGCTTGTATATAAATAGCAACAAATTGATCGTATATAAATAGCAACAAAGCTTTAAGAATGACGAACACAAGAGGACGAAGGAGAGCAAGGTAATGGAGAAGAGTGGGAGGCATTTTGTGCTGGTTCATGGAGCTTGTCATGGGGCATGGTGTTGGTATCGGGTGGCGACGCTGTTGAGAGCGGCGGGTCATAGAGTCACCGCCCTCGACCTAGCTGCTTCTGGGATTAACCCAAAGCAGCTGTATGAGCTCCATACCATCTCAGACTACCTCGAGCCATTGTTGTCATTCATGGCGGCGCTACCATCGGAAGAAAGGGTTGTTTTGGTGGGGCACAGCGCCGGAGGGATTGCCATTTCAGTTGCTATAGAAAGGTTCCCTCAAAAAGTTGCTGTTGCCGTTTTTGCCACCGCTTTCATGCCTGGTCCTGACCTCACTGTTCAAGCTATCCTTGATGAGGTACTGTTGACTTCCTCTTATTCTAGTATTCTATACAACCCCTCTCTCTCTCTCTCTCTCTGTAACATGTTAAAGTATTTTAATAAAAAATGGAAAGTATATTTTTAGGGCAGTATAATAAAAAAGAAAGTATCTTTTAAGATTGGAATAATAATGTCATTGTTAAGAAAAATTCAAGCTCACGTCAAAAAAGTATTAAAAGTTAAAATAGTTTATATTGAAACTCTTGTGTGCGTGAGCAAAACAAGACATTTGACACCGCTCTTATCGTATGGGAAGGTGAAAAGAGAGGAGAACAAAACTTAGATAAAACTAATTAAATGTGTCTAAATAACATAATGATAAATTGGTAGACACCAAACCTTTCAGTACTCCCAGCTAATAATAGTAATACACACACTTGCACATTCATTTCAAGTATTATGTATTAAATTCTCAAATTCAGTACAGATATTATCACGGTAAGATTTGAATCTTTAGTGATTTTTTCATGTACTATGTTTAATTTTCTTTATGTAAAAATACAGACGGTTCAAGGATTGGACTATTACATGGACAGCAAATTGACATTCGACCAAGAGCAGCGTGTAACCTCTGTCTTATTAGGCCCCAAGAAGTTATCAACCAAGTTGTATCAACTCTCTCCACCCGAGGTGAGTGTTTCCCTAAGATCTTAAATATATACATAGTTGTGCGTGCTGGATTTTGCATAATATAAAAACGAGAACAGATCTCTCCTTTGGTGAACTCGAATGAATCGGTGGAGTGATCAGCCACGCTGCTTGGAACAGCTTGTGAAATCCTGTGGTAACCTAAAACGGTAATGGGAGACCCTCGTGGATCAAAGGAACGATCCAGTAAGGCTGAAGAAAGATTCCTGGAACAAAGAAGAACAAGTTAGAAGGGCGCCGGAGTGTTTTCTGGCGTATCCCCTCCGACGGTCAAGTCCGTCTTTGAGAGAGAGAGGAAGAAGAAAACATTGAGTATGTATTGTAGCAAATGTTTTTTGTTGCATACCATCTTGCCTTTTGCGATGAGTATTTATACCTCAAAATCTCATGATTGCTGTCAGTGTAGTCAGTAGGTGATCATTAGGTACAGACAGTGTGCGCACTGATTCTGATGAGGAATGTCTTCTCTTTTAACTGCTCGGGATCCCAAGCAATCAATACTGTGTCATCGGTCTGCCGACTGTTCAATGAACTCCCGTCGGGGAGGACGCAATAAATGCCCGACCTTAGAGGCATTTATTGTCTTTCAATTCCGAGTCTTACCGCATTGAATGCAATCTCATCAAGAGAATGGCGTAATTAAATGCTTGTTTTCCCAAGTCGCGTGTCAGCAAGGCCATGCGGTCTTTCTGTCTCTGATGTGACACAATATGTCACGCGTCCATTCCTCATTGGCTGTGGTCCCTGCCTTCCTGTGCCTTCTGACATCGATTGTGTAAGACGAGGTCATGATAGCTAACTTAGCCTAGCTTAGGCTAGTGACCAGTGCATCAATTGCCTCTGCTGGAGCAGAGAACTTCATCCTAGATGAGGGGGTACATCTCGGTACTGAGGAAGAGGTACATATCGAAGCCGAGGAATAGGTACATCTTGAATCCGAGAGGGGGGAGACCTAGCGACCGATGTACCATATCAGACCAAGGGTATGTGTCGGTACATAAAAGCGTATTGGATGCCACTCGATCCATGGTAAGTACCTCGAGGTAAAGGGGACTTGTGATCCGATGGGTACGTGATCTCGATAGCAAGGATTAGTGATACCGAGGATACGTGTCTTCATCTTGGAGTGTTTCAGAAATGTCCCATCAACTGCCCCCAGCCTTCGATCTTCTGACACCGAGGACACGCGTTGTAAGGAGACGAAGGGTTTTGCAACAACCCCAACTGCTTCATCATTGCCCCTAGCCGTTTTCCCTGCTTAGGATGTCGTGCGCATTAAATGCGTCGTTCGTGCTTCGCACCCAATGATGGGATAGGTGCTATATATAAAGGGGCTTTCTCTCTTCTTTCCTCATTTCATCATTCTAAACTTTTCTTCACAGAGAACCCTTGCCTGAATCTTCGCCGGAGACCTCTTTCCTTCCGTTTGTCAACTACCCAACCTTTTCACTGAAGCTTTAAAGCCAACAGACTCATCCTTTGCTTCTGAACATTCTTGGAAGGAGTCGATTCAAGTTTTCCAGAAAAAAAAAAACTTCTTTCTATACTCTGGTGAGTCCCAGTATCTTCCCTTTCTTTGCCCTTCTGTCTCTTTTGATTTTCTGATCACCGGAGGTGTTTTCTGGTTGCCCTTCAGCGACCAATCCCCGGGAAGCCTTCTTGGAGATCTTTGTGGAAAAGACCCCCTCTATATTTTTTTTTTATCACTTTTTGAAGATGCCTCGTCGTCGCCCTGCCCCCGAGAACCCTCAGGCTAGTACTTCGAGGCCAGGGAAGTATAAAGTAAAAGGTGATGAACAAATTAATAGATTTAGGGTTAAGTACAGCGTTCCCCCGAATGTAGACATAGAGGATTATGACCCGGCTGTGCACCCTTGTACCCTCGGTACCGAGGACGCAATGCCTTTTTTTTTTTATCAAAGTCATCGTAGAAGGTGGAATTAGATTCCCTTTGCCCCCTCTGCTTCTCCAGTTCCTCTCTCGTTTCCGCCTCTTTCCCGGGCAGTGTTGCCTTAATGTCTTTAGGATAATTATGGGGGTCCTATAGCTCAATAGGCGACTTGGGGTAAACGTCGGGCTGAACGATATCCTTTTTTGTTATTCCCTCTTGAGAGTTACGCCTCAATAACACTTCTACCTCAAAGCCAGGGACCCATCTATGTACCTCGTAACTCACCTCCTTGACTCGGACAAGGGGTACAAGGATGACATACTCATCTTAAAGGGATCTTGGCAGAAAGGTGTCGGTCCCGAGTATGACGGCTTGTTATGCCCTTTGGAATGGAGAACGACAAGTACGTCGGTTCCTTCGGGTCTATTATTCTGTTTCTGAGATTTTCTACGTGCTCATGACCCACTCCCCTCTTTTTGCTTGTGCAGACATCTCCCCTCGGGAAACAGTTCCTCCACCCCGGTCGTTGGTGAATTTTGCGGACCTAGCCACCGTTTGGAGATTCACTGGTTCCGACGGGCTCGGCCGGGCTGCCCACATCCTCCTGAATTATACTCCCGGATATAAGAAGTTTTCACAGCTTCCTCAGCCTTTCGATCCTTCGTGGTGGTCTGAACTCTTCGATCAGGCGGGGGGCAAGAAGTCGAGGAGAACTTGGAAGAAAACCCTGACCGGGCTTCGGAGGCAAAAGTAGAGGGTAGAGTTGAAGAGCTCTGTGTCAGAGAGGACTTGGTTCCTTCGCACGCCGAGGTGGGAACTCCGGGGAGAGATTCGTGGCCGGACTTTCAAATCCTACAATCTCTAGACGCCGAGGACGCCCTCGAGGTAGCCATGTCCAGCACGCCCCGCATTGATCTAGGGTTCCTAAGGCAGAGACAAGCCCTCGCTGCCGGGAGGGGACGAGGGTCGGCCGGTGGGGCCCCTTCTGTAGGGACCAACGCCATCCCATCCTCAAGAATCCTTAGTCGGGGTCAAGTGCGTGATCGGGATCCTCAGGTAGAGGAGGAGAGGAGGATTAAACGTAGGCACGATGGCCTTGGCAGGGGACCCAGGGCCCCCTCCGCTCAGCATCAAAGTGGGAGAGGCCATGGGTTGCCCCCTGTTCCTCAGCAACAACAGCAGCAATAGCAGCAACAACAGCAGCAATAGCAACAACAGCAGCAGCGGCAACAGCAGACTCCTCCTCCCCTTCCGTCGACAGTGGAAGCCGCGGAGTGGAATCCTCGAGCCACTGATCATATGAACCGAGTGATCAGGGTCGACGATTCCATTTTGCAACACCCCCATGTCGCCAATGCAGTGAGTGAGACGCTGCATTTTGAGGCCGACATGGTGGCTCACAGGGGGCGATTAACGAACGTGTTGTTTCGCTCTATCATCCAGAATTCCCTGGTGGTAAGTTTTATCTTTGTTTCAGTCTCTTTTTTTTTTAGCCGCTTTTCCTGCTAATGACATGCTTTTTCCTTTGCAGGCCACCCAACAGATCTCCATAATAGCGGCGCGATATCATTGGGCTAGGATGGACCTCCAGCGGGTCCGAGAGCAGAAGGAAGAAGCGGAGGGTGCCCTTGCCAATGCCAAGGAGGACATAGCTGCCAGGGATTCCACCTTCGCAGGGCAGGCTGCTCAAATCAAGCAACTCCTCAAGGATGCCGAGTTGGCTAAGGTCAGCGCTGAAAAGCTAAGTGCTGCCCTTGTCGACGCTGAGGGGAGGATCACAGAGCAGACGCAGCGGCTCTCTGCGACGGAGGAGAGGGATGTTGGCTCAGAGGAAAGATGTCTGGCTCTGACCTAGGAGCTGGACAGGATCAGGACCGAGACACAAAACAAGAAGTCCGAGGAGAAACTCCGGGAAGAGTTCGCCGATGACGTGCTCCCCGCTCTTGAGGAAAACAACGAGTTTTTCAAGAAGGGGTGGGACGAGGCGCTCCAGTCTGCTGGAATTCCGTCAGACTCTCCGCTCTTCCAGATGCACAAGTACGTGCCCTCGACGAAAATGGAACGGGCCGAAGCAGAGATTGCTGCCGAGGGCGAGATTCCAACGCCGGTGCAAGTTTCGGCGGATCTGCGTGAGGCGGTAATAGTGGATTTGTCTGACGAGGCCTTGCCGGACCAGGACCCGGACCATAATATTCATCAGGGTCTCTCTGTTGCCGAAGTACCTCCCGTTATGCCTGCTCCCGAAGCTACTCAACCTTTCTACGCCGATTCACCCTCAGCGGATGTTTTGGAGATGCCCGGGGCAAGATAAAAGACTTTTTTCTTTTCGACTGTACTTTTTCTTTTTCTGTAGCTCTTGGGGACGCAAAGCCCCTCTTTTTGAAATAAAGCTCGAGTACTTATACTTTCTTGCGTACACTTTTTTTTTTTGAACTATATTCAGGGCCTTGCCCATTCAAGAGGCTTGCTCTTATATTTATTTGGGGGGCAAGAGTCCTTGAACTCTATCCCCAGGGCCTTGCCCTTCCAGGAGGCTTGCTCTTGTGTTTGTTTCGGGGGCAAGAGTCCTTGAACTCTGTCCCCAGGGCCTTGCCCTTCCAGGAGGCTTGCTCCTATGTTTGTTTCGGGGGCGAGAGTCCTTGAACTCTGTCCCTAGGGCCTTGCCCTTCCAGGAGGCTTGCTCCTGTGTTTGTTTTAGGGGCGAGAGTCCTTGAACTATGTTCCCAGGGCCTTGCCCTTTATCTTTGTCATTGGCAAGCACTGAAGGAGATAAATACTCAAAAATAGTATTTCTTTAGATTCATCACATTCCACGGTCGCATTACAAGTTTTCCATCCACATCTTCGAATCTATATGATCTGATGCCTCCGATAGATATCACTTTGTAAGGCCCTTCCCAATTAGGTCCCATTTTTCCTTCTGTTAGGTCACGGGTATTGGCCGTTAGCCTCCTGAGGACTAGATCGCCAATTCGGAATTCTCGCGCCTTGACCCTTTTGTTGTACAGTTGGGAAATCTTTTCCTGATACTTCGTTATTCTTAAGGCTGTTGTCTCCCTTCTCTCTTCCACTAGATCTAAATCCAGTCCAAGTTGACGATCATTCTCCCCTGCGTCGAAAGCTTGGGTCCTTATGGTCGGGACTCCTACCTCAAGAGGTATGATTACTTCCATTCCGTAAGGCAGGGAGTATGGGGTTTCTCCTGTTGAGGACCAAGGGGTGGTCCTGTACACCCACAAAATGTTTAATAGCTCATCCGCCCATTTTCCCTTGGCTTTCTCCAACCTCTTCTTAATTCCATTGATAATTGTTTTGTTGGAGGCCTCTGCCTGCTCGTTGGCTTGGGGGTAGGCAGGGGTGGAGTAGAAATTACGGATTCCGAGTTGCTCGCAGAAAGACTTGAAACGTCCGCCGGTAAATTGAGTCCCGTTATCCGACACCAGTGCCCGGGGAATCCCGAATCTGATGACTATGTTCTCCCAGACGAACTTTTTAGCATCTATGTCATGGATGTGAGTCAACGGCTCCGCCTCAACCCACTTGGTGAAATAATCTGTGGCCACGATGAGGAACTTCCTGTTTCCAGGAGCCTTAGGCAGGGGTCCAACTAAATCGAGTCCCCACTAGGCGAATGGACAAGGGCTGGTCAGGGGGTGCAAGTCCCCCGCGGGTTGTCTGATTGCAGGGGAGAACTTCTGACATTGGTCTCATTTCTGGACGTATGCGTGCGCAGCCCTTTGCATTCGCGGCCACCAATACCCCTGAGACATGATGCGGTGTGCCATTGATCGCCCCCCAGAGTGCCCCCCGCATATTCCTTCGTGTACCTCATAGAGAAGGTCTTCCACCTGGTCTTCTTGGACGCATAAGGAGTAAGGTCCTAAGAAAGACCTCCGATACAACTTCTGATCCGGAGAGACCTAAAATCTCGGGGCTTTGAGTTTTATCTTCCTTGCCTCTTTTGAACACTCCGGGAGGTCTCCTGTTGTTAGGAACTTGAGAAAGGGATCAATCCAGCTGGGCGGCTTATGTGTGTCTTGGACGGCCATTGTCTCGGGAGCATGGTCTATGCAGGATGTGGGAAGATATTCTATAGTGATCCTGCGCGACTGAGAGGACTCCACCGTCGAGGCTAGACAAGCCAGGGCATCAGCATGCATGTTCTTGTCTCAGGACACTTGTTTGATCTCAATACTTCCGAATCTTCGGATTACAGTTGTCGCCTGGTGATGGTAAGCCTTCATCCTAGGGTCCCTTGTCTCAAACTCCCCGTTAACTTGGTTGACTACCAGCATGGAATCGCAATGCACGATCAAGTCCGTAACTCCAGTTAGCCTCAGCTAACCGAAGTCCTGAGATGAGGGCCTCGTATTCAGCTTCGTTATTCGACTCTTTGAATCCCAGCCGAACGGCCTGCTCTACGACAATCCCATCTGGAGAGATCAGCAAGATACCGATCCCGGACCCCTTACTATTTGACGAACCGTCCACACACAAAAGCCATGGTGATCCTTCACAATTTGTTGGAGACGCTATGTCGGGAGGAGACAGTCTTTCTAGAACGGGATGTTCCCCCGAAAACTCAGCTATGAAGTCCACCAATACCTGACCTTTTATTGCGGTTGAGGTTTGAAATGAATGTCGTGCTCCCCCAGTTCCACTGCCCACTTGGAAATCCTTCCGGAGAGCTCCGCTTTCCTCAAAATGGCCTTTAAGGGCTGATCGGTAAAGACGGTAATTGGGTGCGCCTGGAAATAATGCCTCAGTTTTCTTGCGGTGGTGACCAGGGATAGAGCCAATTTCTCTAGGGGCAGGTATCTCGTCTCTGCGTCCAGGAGCGTCTTGCTTATGTAATAAATCGGCTTCTAGCGGTGCTCATGCTCACGAATGAGTACCCCGTTTACCGTAAATTCAGACACGGCCAAGTACAAGAAGAGCATTTCCCCTTGGATAGGGACGGATAAGGTCGGTAGAGTCCTTAGGTATTCCTTTATTCCAGTCAAGGCGTCTTCGCACCCCGGCTCCACATATCCTTCCCAGCACTCTTGATTGCTCCGAAAAAGGGTTTGCATTTGTCTGAGGAGCGTGAGACGAAACGGTTAAGTGCTGTTAGCATCCCCGTGAGCTTTTGGACTTCTCGGACAGTCCGGGGGCTCCGGATGTCCAGGATCGCTTGAATCTGATCCGGGTTAGCTTTGATTCCTCGTTGGCTGACCAGATATCCGAGAAACTTACCCGATTCCACTCCGAAACGCACTTTGTCGCGTTCAGCTTCAGCCCGTACTCCCTGAGGGTGGAGAAGGTATCTGTCAAATCTACCAGATGATCACAACTTCGTTTGTTCTTCACCAGCATATCATCAATGTAGACCTCCATGGTGTTGCCGATCTGCTTTTTGAACATCCGATTCATCAGCCTTTGGTTTGTCGCCCCGGCGTTCTTTAGTCCAAATGGCATCACTTTGTAACAGTAAACTCCCTTCGGAGTGATAAACGTCGTTTTTTCCTGATCTGGGGGATGGAGAAGGATCTGGTGATATCCCGCTCGGGCATCCAGGAAGTCCATGCGTTCATATCTGGCAGTGGCATCCACTAGCTGGTCCATCTTTGGTAGGGGGTAGTCATCCTTGGGACATGCCTTGTTTAGATCTGTGAACACGTCATTTCCCCCTTCTTCTTCGTGCAAACTGTGTTAGACAGCCATTCTGGGAACTGTATCTCTCGAATGGCGTTGGCCTTCAGGAGTTTGTCGATTTCTTTGTTGACCGCGCAGGCGTGATGCGGGGCCATGCGTCGTGGCTTCTGTTTAACTGGCTTGTGTGCCGGGTCAACATGCAGCTTGTGCGTGATTATCTCGGGGTCTACCCCCGTCATTTTCATTGCGTTCCAAGCAAACACGTCTGCATTTTCCCTTAGGAACTCAATCATCTCCTCCTGTTCGGCTGCGGGCATCGCAATCCTAACTAAGAAATATCTTTCTTCTTCTCCCTCCACCAAGGGCACCTTTTGGAGGTCCTCCACCGACCGCTCAGTTGGGTCTATCTGGGGGTCATCCATTCCTGGACGCCCGGACTGTGATTGTTATTTCTCCATGATCTCTTCCGGGGCTCGCCCCTTTTCTTGGGTGAACGCTCCGGCTCTAACAGCTAAATAAAAACAATCTTTTGCAGACGCTTGGTCCCCCCGGATCTCCATGATACCTTCTGGAGTGGCATACTTTAGTTTCTTGTGGTAAGTGGAGTGCACCGCTCCCAACGCATGCAGCCATGTTCGCCCTATGATCACGTTGTAGGGAGAGTCCGTATCAATTACGACAAACTCGGTGTTGATGATGAAGGGACCCGTGACAACTGGCAATATGATTTTACCTACGGGCAGGGCAAATGAGCCGTTGAATCCGATGAGGGGTGTCTTGACTTTGGTGAGGTCCTTGAGGCCAAGACCCATCCGTTTCAAAGTCTCGGAGTCCATCACTTCCGAGGAACTTTCAGAGTCTATCAACACCCTTTTGACGTCGAATTTTCCTATCTTCAGGGTCAAGACGAGGGCGTCGTTATGAGGAGTCACTACGTCTGTCAAGTCCTCGTCGGAGAACGTGATGCTGAGCTCACCAGTCCTGGCCCTTTTACTGGGTGGCCCCCTATCATCCTCGACTACCTTCCTTGTAAAAGCTACCCTCTTGAGGTCGGACTCGAGTTCCTTGGACGTGGGGCAATCTAGGGGACATACATGGATGACATCTATGACGTTGTCCGGCTCCTCGGTCGGGGCAAGGGTGTGTCTCTCTTGTAGCCTGGGCTCTATGTATTCTTTCAAGTATCCGTCTCGTACCAATGTTTCCAAGAACGATTTGTATGCCCTGCAGCTTTCGGTGCAATGTCCGAAATCCCGGTGATAGGAATACCTAACCTTTTGATCACGGGTGGAGGGATCGCTCTGCATCCTGGGCAGCCACTTGAAGAACGGCTCATGCTTGATTTTATGGAGCAACTTGAAGATGGGTTCCTTGAACATAGTGTGAACTCCTTTGGACGAACCCCTTGGAGGGGGTAGTAATCCCTTTCGGGGAGTATCTTCCCGCTCCCTCTCCTTTCTCTTAGATTGGAGGATTCGGCCTTTGCTACTTCTTATCTCCTCCTCGATCCTTGAGTATTTGTTTATCTGGGCCATCAGCTCGCCCATATCCGAGGGAGTCTTCTTGGTCAGGGATCGGTACAGGTCCGTGTCCCTCGCCAAGCCGAGCCTGAAAGACGCCGCTGCCATGACTTCCGAGCAGCCTTCTACCTTGTTTACCTCTTCCTAGTATCGGATGGCATACTGGCGAAGCGTCTCGAATTCCCTACGTCTGAGCGTTAGCAATGATCCAACGTCTTTGGGCCGCTTACTCCCTGTAATGAATCGAGCTAGGAACTGCCTCGTCAATTCCTTCCACGATCCAATACTGTTGGGGGGAAGCGCCTCGAACCACTTCATCGCAGAGTCCCCCAAGCTCATAGGAAACACTCGGCAGAGGAACTGTTGGTCCGAATGATAAAGGGACATCATCTGCTTGTATTGCCTGAGATGGGCTTCGGGATCGGATCGCCCGTCATAAGTTTTGAACCTCGGCACGACAAAATTTCTTGAAACCTCCATCTCTCCGATCTCCCTGGTAAAGGGTGTTTGCATGACCTCATCTTCGGTCTCATCCTGGACAGCCTTACTCTTTCTCCTGGATTCCAACCGGGCTCTGAGATCAATTTCCTCCCTGACAGGATGTCTTCTGAAGTCTTTGAGTTCATCAATAGGCCCCCCATTTCCTGGGCGCCGTGTGGATAGGGTAGAATCCTTGTCGGACTCATCTCCCTTCCTCTGTCTAGACAATCCTCGCCGAAGGTCGTCTAGGGCTAGCGGCCTTGCCTTCCTGGAATGGTCGTTAAGAGGGTGTTCGTTGGCTCTCGGTCGCTTTGGGGCCCTGGAGCTCTCTGCTTTGTTGTTTAGATGATTCCTTAGATCCTTCGTTTTCGCCCCCCGGGCGGGGAGCCCATGAGAGAGGAATGAGTCCCTCGACCCTTCGCCAGAGGCGGCAAATTCGTTGAGCCGGCTTAGGACGTTTACATTGTCCTTTTCAAACTGTAGTAATCTATCGCCAAACTTTTCTTCGATCACCTCTACCAGCTGACGAGCCAGGGGGGCTGATCCTCCTGACCTGATTCCCATCAGTGTGATCCCTTCCTTCGTGGTGACAGGGAGCTTGTAATTCGAGACTTCTTTAGTGGGGACCTTTCCCTTTTTGTCGAGTGTTCACCATGGTCATTGTTTTTTATAGAGAAAAAACTAGGAAAACTAGTCGTTTCCCACAGACGGCGCCAGATTGTGCGTGCTGGATCTTGCACAATATAAAAATGAGAACAGATCTCTCCCTTTGTGAACTCGAGTGAATCAGTGGAGTGGTCTGCCACGCTGCTTGGAACAACCTGTGAAATTCTGTGGTAACCTGGAACGGTAATGGGAGACCCTCGTGGATCAAAGGAACGATCCAGTAAGGCTGAAGAAAGATTCCTGGAACAAAGAAGAACAAGTTAGAAGGGAGCCGGAGTGTTTTTTGGCGTATCCCCTTCGATGGTCAAGTCAGTCTTTGAGAGAGAGAGGAAGAAGAAAACACTGAGTATGTATTGTAGCAAATGTTTTTTGTTGCATACCATCTTGCCTTTTGCGATGAGTATTTATACCTCAAAATCTCATGATTGCTATCAGTGTAGTCAGTAGGTGATCATTAGGTACAGACAGTGTGCGCACTGATTCTGACGAGGAATGTCTTCTCTTTTAACTGCTCGAGATCCCAAGAAATCAATACTGTGTCATCGGTTTGCCGACTGTTTAATGAGCTCCCCTCGGAGAAGACGCAATAAATGTCCGGCCTTAGAGGCATTTATTGCCTTTCAATTCCGAGCCTTACCGCATTGAATGCAGTCTCATCAAGGGAATGACGTAATTAAATGCTTGCTTTCCCAAGTCGCGTGTCAGCAAGGCCATGCGGTCTTTCTGTCTCTAATGTGACACAATATGCCACGCGTCCATTCCTCATTGGTTGTGGCCCCTGCCTTCCTGTGCCTTCTGACATCGATTGTGTAAGACGAGGTCATGATAGCTAACCTAGCCTAGCTTAGGCTAGTGACCAGTGCATCAATAGCCTCTGCTGGAGCAGAGAACTTCATCCTGGATGAGGGGGTACATCTCGGTACCGAGGAAGAGGTATATATCGGAGTCGAGGAAGAGGTATATCTCAGAAACCGAGGAATAGGTACATCTTGAATCCGAAAGGGGGAGGCCTAGCGATCGATGTACTATATCAGACCGAGGGTATGTGTCGGTACATAAAAGCGTACTGGATGCCACTCGATCCATGGTAAGTACCTCGGGGTAGAGGGGACTTGTGACCCGATGGGTATGTGATATCGATAACAGGGATCAGTGATACCGAGGACACGTGTCTTCAACTTGGAGTGTTCTGGAAATGTCCTATCAACAGTTTCAATGAAAAATATTATTGAGACGTACTTTAAAAACCTAATTTAAGTTATAACATTAGATCAGGTGAAGTTTCTTTTCTTTTCTTTTTTTTAGTGTTCTTTTGTAGTTTTTTTTAATGTATTAGTGTCATGGTGAATTTTACAGGATTTGACTCTTGGAATGTTGTTGGTGAGACCATATCCTTTCTTTTATGATGCAAAGTCAGTGAGGGACACAACTTTTACCAAGGAAAATTACGGATCAGTCCATCGAATTTTCATCGTTTGTAGCCAAGATCAAGCAATAACAAAGGACATTCAAATGTGGATGATCAAGAATAATCCGCCAGATGAGGTGAAGACGATCAATACGGATCATATGGTCGTGTTCTCTGAGCCTGTTGACTTGTCCGCCAACCTGCAGGAAATTGCTGACAAGTATTATTGATTCTGGCACTTGTAGCTGTAACAAGTGTTATATATTGCTCAACCTACTGTTTAGAATAAGTAAATAATTAAATAAATAAATAAGATTGTTGGCATGAGAAAATAAATAAATAAAAATGGTTGAGCTACACTTTGGTTTTATCAAGTGTCATACCTTGCAGGCCTTGGCTGGCTATTTTTTCAAGTCTAAGATGATATTAAAATTGAGATTATGGCAAATATTGAAATATAATTTGAGCATCTAAAAAATCGATTGTGTTGAATCAAATAATAATTTCTTTCCTTCTAACCCCAAGGGGTAGTCTAGTCATGGAGACAAAGATGAGTTGTATATTTAGATATCTTGAGTTGAAAACTTGAAAATTCCCTTGGAGTTATGTCATGAAAGATTTATTTTTCATAAATTCTCTAATTTCGGCATGAATGTCTTGTCTTTGATCGAACTAAAGAAATAAATAATTGAAGTGCATAAACTGGACCAGATACTACCCCGGCCCATAATACCAAAAATATAAACAAATTATTTTTTTCGTTCATTTTTTTAATTACATAATTAAAAATTAATTTCTACCCATTATATAGATTTTTTCGTTCATTTTTTTTTAATTACATAATTAAAAATTAATTTTCACCGTTGTTGTAGATATTTTTATCACTGTTGTGATAATTATTTTTAACACTTTTATTTGGTATGAAAAAATTACTGATTTTGCGGGTGATCTATCATATTTGTGGGTATTTTATCACTCTTATGGTAATTATTTTTACAATTTTTTTAAGTACCATAGTAGTAAAAATAACCATAATAATAAAAATAATAATAATTGTAGTAAATGAAAGTACGGTACGGAAATTTTATTTTTTTGTGGGACCATAGACAAGTCTAAATAATAGTTGTAACTGTACTTTTAATCCATAGCATTGCTCAATTGTAACAAGAACACCAGGAGGTGTAACTGTAACATTTATAGGAAATCACTTGCCCCAAAGAAAAAAAAAAGGGTAAACATTGACAGGAAACCTTTTAATTTACCCAATGTACTCATGACAGGAAACCTTTTCCTTGGAGGGCTAAGTTCATGTCGACTTAACATAGAATCGCATTGTTTAAACATATTATTGTTGTACGAGTAGTTCCCTCGAACCTCCACCAATTCACCATCTCTCTCTCTCTCTCTCTCTCTCTCTCCCCGTGTGTGTGTCTCGATTGGATACGTATAGGACAGCTAAACAAGGAAGATGCTTGTTACAGCATGAAAATTATTGGTCCTCCACTCCTCCCTCGAAGTAATCTCTCTCCCTCCCGTGTGTTTATTTGTGTCGATTTAAATATGTATTGGTGAGGTAAACACGGAAGATGCTTTTCAATACATGGAAACTCTTGATGCATTTGTGAAATATATCAAGCTCAAAATTACACCCCATAAATAGTAAGGCAGCTTTATGAGTGATGAACACAACTAGAAGAAGAAGAGTTTGGTAATGGAGAAAAGTGGGGGGAGGCATTTTGTGCTGGTTCATGGAGCTTGTCATGGGGCATGGTGTTGGTTTGAGGTGGCGACACTCCTAAGGGCGGCAGGCCACAGAGTCACCGCCCAAGACATGGCCGCTTCGGGGATTAACCCAAAGCAACTGTACGAGATCCAAACTATCTCAGACTACCTCGATCCATTGCTGTCATTCATGGCCTCTCTACCGCCGGATGAGAGGGTCGTTTTGGTGGGCCACAGTGCCGGCGGGGCTGCTACTTCTGTCGTTATGGAAAGGTTCCCTCAGAAAGTTGCTGTTGCTGTTTTTATTTCTGCTTTAATGCCTGGTCCCGACTTCACTCTTCAAGCTATTGGTGACAAGGTACTATTTGAGTCTTGACTTTCCCCCATTACATCTCGATTATCATTATATTTCTGTTTCTTGCTATACAGTGTCATGACTTGTACCAACTGAATGTCCCCGTCTTTCATGACTACATTTAGAAGTAGGCTTCATGAATAAAAGTTTCAGTAGTTATCTCATAGACTTCTTGCTTATGCAAACCACCAGGTTGTGCAAACAAGACTGACATTTTCCTTTTCTTATTTTTAAAAGTTTTATAGTTTGATCATAAAATTAAAATCTTCTCTCTTTGATGAGAATTAATATGTTATTGAAGTAGTTTTTTTGCCCTAACTAAATTTGGCCGGTTTTTACTTTTAATATTTAACTCTTTGGACCAATAGATTTTGGATAATGGTCGAGAATAATTCAAGGTTATGTTGTATAACTTCCATAATCATACATACATATATATTAGTGATCAAACATTAATTGGTGCCTTTTCGTTTCCTTTGCTATGTATATGCAATAATTGTTAGCGTATATACAGATCATTCAAGGATTGGACTATTTCATGGACAGCAAGTTGACATTCGACCAAGGGAACCGCATAACCTCTGTCTTATTTGGCCCCATGTTCTTATCAACCAAGTTGTATCAACTCTCCCCACCTCAGGTAACTAGAGTTTTTTTTTTTTTGTTAACATATAAATATAGAACATATTAATTTTTTAGGGTTAATAGTATTTTTAGTTTCTAAAGTATATTTGTTTTGTTAGTTTAGTTCTCATTGTATTAATTTTGTCAATTTCAATTCATGTCACTTTGGTCCCTAATCAGACAATTCGTTAATTTTTTTTACAAAAGTGACATTTTGTCATTCTTTCAGACGAAATCACCTATCCAACAAGTAATCATTCTGTTAAAAAATTTAACGGTCAATTTATGTAGAGATCAGTTAAACACAAATTAAATATTTAAAGCACCAATTTAACAAAATTAAAAATTGGAGCTGAGTCTTTATTAAGGGACGTATAATGAGTTTAATCTATCAAGAAAATTTATTTGTGGATAAGTCTAACTAATAAGTAGTTAATTCTACTATTTTTCTAAAACTCCAAAATATCCTTCATTGAAAATAATTTTAAATTAATTTCTTTACTTGAGAATTATTATCTCTTAATTTACTATCAATGAAGATATACTAAAAATTTTTTTATATAAATTTAAAATTTAAATTTAAAGAACAACTGATACTCTCTCTCTCTCTTTATATATATATATATATATATATAATTTTTTATCATGTTACTTTTCATGTTAGACATGTTATCTTTTTTGTTGAGTATGTTACTACCATTATTTTTCTAGATATTAATACTCAATGTTATTATTTTTTTTATGTTTAAATGTGCTATTTTTTGTGTTTTAATGGTACTATTTTTTATGTTTAAATTTTACTATATATATATATATATATATGAGAGAGAGAGAGAGAGAAAAAAAAGATAATTTTAATATTAGTTAAACTCCTAAAATTTAGGAGTTGTTAATTTTTATATTTGTTTTAATTAAACATAACTATTAGGGTATTTGGACAATAAAAATCAAAATAAACTTAATATTAAATAAATTTTTTGGGAGAAATTTGGAAGGAAGTACACCAAATTAGATTTAATTGTAAAAAGTACACAGAAAAAAATGTTAGGTAATTAAGTCCTTAATTTTGATACTTATTTATATCTAAATACATTATTTGAATTTTATTGATTTTTTTGTGACATTTTTTTCCTCCATTAATGCATGTCTTTTTTCTTTGAAAAGTGGTCCATTAAACATCTCCTAATTTTATGGGAGAACTTTAATACATTTCAAAAGAAATGTCATATATGCTTCAAGAACATCCTAGAAAAAGAATTATCCACAAAAATTTATAATGAACATACTAAAATTTGTTTTGCCACATTCAAATAGTAAAATTTATATTGTCAAAAATTAGTATTTGGTACCTTGTGTCTTAGAACAATTCAAAAAACCTAGTCGAATCATGATCCACATGATGGAAGATCTCGTTTCAATTATTTAATGCATGAGAAAAATCATGTAATTTTTTCTACACAAGAGACATAATGTTAAATATACAAAATGAGTTTCAGTACTAAACAAAAAATGAACCTATAACCATAGAAATTAAACACATAGAAGGTTTATAATTTAGAGTAAATAAAATCTCAAGACACTATTTTCACAGTAACTTTCCACAATTGATCATGCTTGTTAAATAAAAAACACTTAAAAAATCAAGAAGAAAATTTTTAAGATGTTATTGCAAGCCTAACTCCAAGCAAAACATAAATCATATGAAAATAACAATAATATGCAACCAGATAAAAAAACGTGAGTATGAGTGAATGGGAGAGGAATAAAATAGTATTATTATTACTGTATAATTGAAATTCATGGGATTGAATAGTTGATTGTTAGCTATCCACATAGTCATAAAATGGAAGATGAAATAATTTAAAATTTATTTGATTAATAATATATTTATTGCCAAAAATTGGTACCGTCTGCAAAGCTACATATCAGTTCATATTAGATAAATGATAAAATGAACTTTATGATGGCATAATAGTTATATTAATGATTATCTATTATTTTTCATATATTAAAGGTGATTAATAGATTTATTGTAAACAAAAAAGTTTATGAGAAATAAATGAAAGAGAGATAGTGTCATTAACTCAAGAAATCAAAAAAAAATATAATATATGGAATACTATGTATTAAAAATAAGAGATTTTGAATTAAATGACTCTAAAATTGACATTTACGTATTTGTATCTCAGTTGTGTATTTTTTTTCCATAACATTTTGTTTTATATATTTTTTTGTTAAATAAGTCTAATTAGGTGTACCGACTTCTAAAATACCCATTTTTTTTTATGAACTTTTCACAAAATAGGTCCACAAAGGAGACCGACTTCTAAATTTTTCAAATTTTTGTTACTTTATCCAAGTATTGGAATTGCAAAAACCCAATAAACAGTACGGAGGCTTTAGGTGGGCTAGCCAGGACAATCAACAGCCCTAGCCCAGGATCCATCCTAATCCATTTACAACCGGATCAGGTGGACCAGCCCGTTGTCAACCTTGGTCCAAATATACCCCGCGACCGACTCATACTAAAACTGTAAATACAAAAGGATCAACTAAAATTTATATTTTTTGTTTTTTATTTTTTATATTTTAGACATTAGTTTAACTAAATAGATCTTATTTTTTTAGGTTTTGACTCTTGCAATGTTGTTGGGGAGACCAAAGCGAGTGTTTAATGATGCACAGTCATTGAAGGACACAACATTTACCAAGGAAAACTATGGATCAGTTGAACGAGTTTTCATCATGTGCAGTGAAGATAAATCGATAACAAAGGAAAACCAGATGTGGATGATAGAAAACAATCCACCAAATGAGGTGAAGATGATTCATACAGATCATATGGTCATGTTCTCTAAGCCACAAGAGTTGGCTTCTAATCTGCAGGAAATTGCTGACAAGTATTATTAACTTTGTTGCGTGTATTAAATAAGACGCTATATGTTTCTCAATTTAATGCCAAAAATTATTACGGTGTTTGGTTTATAATATCACCTAGTGGCCCATCTCGTGCGATGCACGGGATTATAATTTGTATCTATTTTTTTATTATTTAATTTATTATTTTTATCTGTTTATTTAATCATTTGAGAAGTTAGACAAAACAATTATAAATTTAAATTTTTTAAAAGAAAGATGAGGAAGTTGAGAGATGATTACAAATAACACATAATAGCGTTTAATTGGAGGAAGCCTTAGATTTTAAATTAAAAAAATTTAAATTTTAAAAAATAGGAAATGTGGAGAGAATGCTTCTCAAGCTTTCTCCCTTTAATTTATTTGTTATATATACTAGTAGTTGGCCCCGAGCGACGCACGAGATTATAATTCATTTTTAAATTTTTTTTATTTTACTACTTGAGAAATTAAATAAATAATTATATTTACGTTTTTGGGTGATAACAATTGATTGTTTTGAAAAATTTTAAGAAATAATAGTCAGTTATTGAAGAGTTGGTAGGTAATTACTAATGAAACATGCTAGCATTGATTGGAAAGAGTCTTACATTTCAAATTAAAAAATTCTAAATTCCAAAAATAAGAGAAAGTGAAAGGGAAGACTTCTCAAGTCACCTCTCACATAATAGTATATATACACTAATAGTTCACCCTTGGGATGCACGAGATTATAATTCATGTTTTTTTTTGTTTTATTACTTGAGAAGTTAAATAAATAATTATATACATTTTTTTGGTGATAAAAGTGTTTTTTTTTAAATGTTTTTTAAAAATGATTAGTTCCAATGATACATGTCAACGTCTAATTAGAGGGAGCCTTAAATTTTGAATTAAAAAATTTTAAATTTTAAGAAAAAAAAAAGTGGGAGGGAAGGCTTCTTAAGCCACCTCCCGCCTAATTTGATTGTTATATATATATATATATATATATATATATATATATAGATTTCCACGACTTTTGTTTTTTTTAATATGTGAAAACGAGGATAACACTTTTCTCTTGCATTCATTGTGTGCCTCCGTTGGTGTTATGAACAAAAGTCCCAAACAAAAAAAAATAGAACGAAAAAAAAATAACATATAAATTTATATGATTCGGCTCAACACAAACCTATGTCAATGATCAAAACACAATAACAAAACTTCACTATCAAAAAAAAAAATTACAAAGTGTTCTAGTAAACAAAGACAAAAGAATGTGTCACTAATCTATTACTATTACAATGTTAATAGTGCCTAAAAAACTCCTTCCCGAAAGAATATTGTTTTTGTGAAAAAGACCCACCAACTTAGAGCAAACCCCCAATCTCCAAAGATGAAAACTCTTCCTTGTCGTCACGTTAACGACAAACTGCTAGATCTGCTGGACAAAGCAAATCCATTGAGCTTGTTGTTGATCAGTAGCAGAAAGTCCATTATGGACTTGATAACCTTTTCTCAATTAATAAAATAAGAGTCCAAATCAAACAAGAAGAACACCATTATAAAGTTTGTTTGAGATTTTTAAATCCCAAACAAACGCCTTAGTTCTCTGCCGCATGACAAATAGAATCCAAATTGGACTTGGAATACAGGTCAAATTTAACAGCTGGGAAGTTCGGTAAACCCAAACAATATTAAAATGAAGATTAGGTCGCGTCTTAACGGGTCAATTTGGAACTAACTAAAAACCTTAATTTTTTTTTTGTTTTAGAGGAAAAAAAAGCTCCTCCGTTTGGACCCGGATTTATTGGCAACTTTTTAACAATTTTTTGAACAAAAATAACTTTATCAGCACCAAAAAAAAAGTTAAAAAATGAAACTTATTCAAGAACTTTCAAAGAAAAAATTGTTTTTTTCGGAAACACTCTAAACAATTTTAAAAACTTTTTTAACTCTAACTTTTTCATTTTATTTTTGAAACTTTGGTTTTATGCCCAAAAAAGTCAGTTCCAAACGGGGTCTAATATTGTGATTAAGGTAATTATCATCCACATCCACACCCACACCCACACCCACACCTACACTCACACCCCATCTAGATAGCTATATTTTCAATGAGACTCTTTCATTATCCAAAATATCATTGACCCCCCATTTAGTTTATATTTAAAATTTCACTGACACTTCTTGATGTTAAGTCATCGTTTCTAACAAAAAAAATTTATCTGAAATACAAAAATTACCTCTAAATAAACTCCGAACAATATTTCTTCATAAAATTTGAGTCAATTAAAATTTATTTTTCTATATATTAAAATTCGAGCTAATTAAAATTTATTTTTCTACATATTAAAATTTGAGCTGATTAAATTTTATTTTTTAACATAATAATATTCGAGTCTATTAAAATTTTTATTTTTACGTATTATAATTTGAGATGATTTGAGTTTAACTTGAGTTGCTAGTGTCGACTAAAATGTGATTCGAGTTGATTAAAATTTGTATTTTTTTATTTATAAAAATTCGTGCTAATTAAAATTTGATTCTAGTTGATTAAAATTCATATTTTACATATTAAAATTTAAATCGATTAAAATTCAAAGTAAGTTGATTAAAATTTGATTCGAGTCGATTAAAAACGAATTTTAATTGGTTTAAATTTTAATAAGTAAAAAAATATAAATTTAATCGACTCAATTTTAATACATAAAAAATAAATTTTAATTAACTCGAATCGAATTTTAATCCGTCCGAATTTTAATACGTAAAAAAATTCAAAAAAGAGAGAGACACTCATTGAAGATATGTCTATCTAGAGAGACTGTGGATGAAGTTTTTTTTCTTAAAATATATCGTGAACAATTTAATAAAATAGTATTCTAGTATAAGGGAGTGTCTTTGAACATAATAAACTATAAAAGATATGAATGAAATTTTCTTGAGATTACTTTGATGATGTTAACAGGAGTTCGATGTCCAAGCAAGGGTACACAACATATCCATACTCATTTAGAATGATGTTTGAAAAAATATTTTAACCTTCTTGCCCAAAGTAGAGTAACCAGTCATGCAGAAGACAAAAGAAAAATGAATTCAGATAAACAAACTGAACAAATGTATAGACAATTGTCCAAACCCATCAAACAACTCTTTGTAAAGAGAACCTAATTATTAGATAATTACATTATTTTATTCCATCTCTCTTTTATTTTAGACTTTTCGATGAGATGTTGGTTCAACGCTAATCGTACTCGTTTGCTATCTCTAGGAGACAATGAAAAAGTTCGGCTGGCTTTGAGCACATTGCCATATGGTCTGCACCTTTGATTTTCTTCACCTCCGTCGCTCCAATGTTATCAATCATCCATTGTTGGAATTCCTCTGCTATCTCTTTATCCTCATTGCATATGACATAAACTCGCTTAACTGATCCGTACCTCTCAGTTGAAAACTTAGTTGCCTTCGACAAATCTTCTAGAAATAATGATCCAGGCCTTACTAATGTCTTCGCCAATGTCAGATCTTAAAACAACAAGAATCATTTAGGCAGTCACAAATATGCAATACCAACTTGGAGAGAGAGAGAGAGAGAGAGAGAGAGAGAGATGGTTTACTTCAACGGGGCAAAGTTGGTAGAGCTTGGATGATAAGAACTTGGGGCCAAAAAACATTGATTTCATAGGTTCTTCCGAACTACCAAAGGGTGGGAACTGAGTATCCAACCAACTTTCTGCAGTGGTCCTCTTGCAATACTTGCAAAAGAGAGGGAAGAGAATCTAACAACAAAGATGACATACCTGAAAATTGTAGGACTGAAAAATGAAAATTACAAAAAGCGAATGTTATTTCGAAGGAAAATATTATTTGGACTTAGAATGCTAACTTGATTTGTTAATTTGATCAATCACATATATTAAATAGGTGATAGATCTCAATAAACACTGTGTTCCACAGTTATAAGTTAGCATTTTAAGTCTGAGTAATATTGCTTCATCTCCAATACTGCATTCACTGACAGGTCGAACTTTCTTCATCTATTCTTTGTCGAGTAGTAGTATTTAGATCTAAAAATTAACCTGATTTGATGATGTAGTTTTATTGGAACCATTAGATGAAGAATAAGTTCTAATATTTGATTAGATTCATAATCAATTCAAAAATTATAATAAATGAGTTCAATAAATGAGATCAAATTTTGAATTCTATATAATATTGCTATTCTTATCCTTTCTTTTTTTACTCTTTAACTAGCACCCGGTAGTTTGCCAACAAATGGCTAAAAACAATAAAGCAATTTTTTTTTTTTTTGATAAACAAAACCACTTTGGAACTTACACTTAAAAGTGTAAGCGACAGAGGGCCTTGTTGGGATTTCTCACGATTTGAATCTACTAACAAACACACACAATCGAAGAACAAATCAAGAATATAAAGCAATAAGAAACAAGAAAGAACAAGACACAGATTTTACGTGGTTCGGCAATTTGCCTACGTCCACGAAGCTGCAGGGATTTCACTATTGAGAGAGTTGAATACAGAGAGCGGCTGTACCATACACAATTAACCCTAATCACCAAAACAACAGGGTTTATATGTCCTACGCACTGGGCTGTACAACGGGCCCAAAAAAATTTTCCTCGGGGGCGTTGCCCCCAAACCCCCACGAGGCTTGCCCATGAGCGCTACGGCTTGGGCCTATCGGCCCAAGCCTTCGCTCTATAGACTAAGCCTCAGAAAATTTTTCATTAAAAACCACACAACATTATTTCGGGTCGGGTCATCATCCGGATCACATATATAAACTAGACTCCATAAAAATAAACCAACAGGCCTTATACACACACACAACTCCAAGGTTATCCGATGTGGGATAGCTCCAGTCTCCCTGGTAGACAATTAACACCGATTTTTTTTTGAAGACTGGGCCCATACACAATCGCATGGAACAGACGCACGCACACAAATTTCTATTTTTTTTTTTTTGTAGGTAGAACTACTTTGAAACTTACATTTAAAAGTGTAAATGACTTGGGGCTTTATACACGCACAACCAAATAATGAAGCAAAATTGTATGGCTAATATTTGGGAATAGAACGAGGAGAAGGATTTAAATCAATGGCGCGGGCCCCACATTTGTTTTTGAGAAAGTGGTCCCCAGATACTTTTTTTTCGGAAAGGATTCAATTTTGATGCTGGAAAAGACAAGAAATTGTCTGCTGAAATTACCAAAGAGTAATTTTTTTGAAAAAATTTGATATAATTTATTGATATTGTAACCATTGGATTAAAATTAAGTTCTAATTTTTAATGAAATTCACAGGAAATCTAAGGACTACGGTGAATTAAGTCAAACAAATTAAATTAATAAATTAAATTCGAATAACACTGTTTATTACGAAATCTAAGCCCAATACATGAGGTGAATCCTTGGAGTAACGTTATAAATATTTAAAAATTTGGCATAATTTATTGATCTAATAAAATATTAAGTGATCAAAAATTCAACAGATATATTCACAATAATTTTATTCGATAATGTTCTTACCACATCATTATATCAGATTTTTAGGAAAACAGCAACAGAGATCTTCTCAGGGTACTTGTCCATGGCCACAGCCAAGTTCAAGCCACCAAGGCTGTGTCCAACTAGTATCACCTTTTCGTTCGGAGGAACTGAGGCCATGAATTCAATCAACGGCAGAGTATAGGGGCAAAGGGTACGTAGTTCATCTAGTTTCTTCGGGTTGATGCCGGAGGCGGACATGTCAAGGGCTGTGACCCGATCTCCGGAGGACTCGAGGCGGGGCTTGATCTTGTATCAAATCCAAGTTCCTATGGCATGCACCATGCACTAATGTTCCGTTTTATAGGGAGGATGAAAAATAAGAAGGATGAAAAGTAGGAGATATACATTTTCTATCCTTAAAGTAGAAATAATACATTTTCTTTCGTTTGTGTTTGTGTTTGGATGGATGGATGAAAAATAAAAATAATTATTATTTTTTTTTGTGCTGACTAAGATTAAGGGTGACAATCGAATCGTGTCGTGTCAAATTCGTGGAGTCATTACGGGTTTGTGTCGAATATTAGTCAAATCTAATTTAACTTATTTAACTAATTGTGTCGTGTCGAATTGCGAGTTGACATATTTATTTTTGTATTGAGTTCGAGTCGTGTCATCGTGTTGAGTTAAAAATTTTCATCCTTAATTAAGAATGAATTTTTTTTAATTTTTTAATTTTTTTAAAATTTTTTAATTTTTTTTAACATATATATGTATGTATACATATTTTATCATAGTATTTTTATATGAAATTAATGTATACATATCAATACAAATAATTAACTTTCCATCAACTTTCCTTCCGATTTTGGTGAGTCGGAAGGAAAGTGAATTCATCTACTTTTTCATCTTTCCTACCTTTCTTTTTTATCAAACATGATATTTTATTTATTTTTTCCACTTTTCATTTTTTCATCATCTCATTTTTTTATCATATCAAACAGATTATAAGACAAAATGCTTTTTCTGCTTGGCTACTTCCATTTTTTTTGTTCTGTAGCAGGCGGCTTTAACTAGTTATAGGTGATCTGAGTGTGTAGATTTTAGTTATCTTTATTGAGGAAAGGGCAGCCACTTGTGCCAATTTTATTCATTGACACCAACATCACACGATACGAATTCGGATGGACCCCTCGATAATTTGATCAACTTGATTTCCATGGCATGTGAGAATTGATTTGGTTGATCCGGATGGACCCCTTGATGTGATATATATGGTGGGTGATTGATGGTGTATTTTTTTCACTACTTTGACACCGTCTTGCAAATAGTTTGGCGCCGATTGTACTTCTTGAACCTTATTTAGTTCTTCTTCAATGAGGCATCCTTCACTAATTGCCCCATACAAACGTAAGATATATTACACTTTTATCCCCATTGTATGTTTCATGTTTTGTGTTGGTGATTACTTATTCGCCTTTAATCTTAGGGTTGCATGAGAATCACTTGCTTGTTTTTTGTTCGAAAATTGGTCGGTGTTTATGATTATTTATGTAGGGTCATCCTCAATGCCAATAATTTGGGACAACATGAAAAAAAAAATGTAATATTGCAATAATGTGAAATAGGAATATAGTGTAGCGGTCAAAATTTAGTTAACAATTGAGCAAATTTCAACTTTTTAATCATTTGATGCGTATCCGATTGTGTTTCAACAATTTGGGTATTAAACTTCAATTATTTAGCAACTTGGGTAAAAAACTTCAATTATTTAGCAACTTGGTAAACTTTTCTCTTATGTACTCTCTCACTTTTTATAAAAAAAAAAAATCTTTTTTCTAACTACCTTTTTCAATCAGTTCTTGTTTGTGTGTTATTGTATTTTTTTTTATTGTTTCTTTGTGGGTTCTTACAACTTCAATCATATGTATATTAGCATGTATATATATATATATGATGGAACTTTTCTTAAATACTCCAAGATGAAGACACGTGTCCTCGGTGTCACTAAAAATCCTGTTAACTGAGATCACGCACCATCGGCTTACAACTCCCCTCGCCCCCGAGGTACTTGACACGTGTCTTTTACGTTTCACAAACCGACACGTATCCCTCGGTCTAGTATGGTACCTCATCATCATGTACGGCTTCCCTCGGCTCGAGATGTACCTTTCCTCGGTACCGAGATGTGCATGTCCTCGGTACCGAGATGTACCCGTCCAAGATGCCTTTTTCTCTGCTCCAGTATAAACTATTGATGTACAGGTCATTAGCTTAGGCTAGTCTAGGTTAGCTATCATGGTCTCGTCTTACACAATTGGTGTCAGAAGGAACAGGAAGGCAGGGTCCACAGCCAATAAGGGATGGACACGTGGCAAATTGTGTCACATCAGAGACAGAAAGACCGCATGCCCTTACTGACACGCGACTTGGGAAAGCAAACATTTAATTACATCATTCCCTTGATGAGACTGCATTCAATGCGGTAAGGCTCGGAATTGAAAGGCAATAAATGTCTCTAAGGCTGGGCATTTATTGCATCCTCCCCGAGCGGAGATCATTAGACAGTCGGCAGCCCGATGACACAGCATTGATTGCTCGGCGCCCCGAGCAGTTAAAGAAAAGAAGACATTCCTCATCAGAATCAGTGCGCACACTGTCCGTACCTAATGATCATCTACTGACAACACTGACAGTAATCATGAGCTTTTGAGGTATAAATACCCCTCATAAAAGGCAAAACGGTATGCAACAAAAAACTCTTTACTACGAAATATACTCAGTGCTTTCTTCTTCATCTCCCTTTCAAAAACTAACTTGATCGTCGGAGGAGATACGCCAGAAAACACTCCGGCGCCCTTCTAACTTGTTTTCCTTTGTTCCAGGAACCTTTCCCCGGCCTTACTGGATCATTCCTTCAATTCACGAGGGTCTCCCGTTGCCGTTCCAGGTTACCACCGGATCTCACAGGCTGTCCCAAGTAGCGTGGTTGACCACTCAGTTGACTCACTCAGAGTTCACCAAGGGAGAGATCTGTT